CCAGAGACCTTGGGCGCATTGACACGAGGACAATCCAATGCTATTCACCTCTCTGCTGTTCAGATGTAGCCAAGAGCTAGTCACGAGTCCTTAATGGCAGGCACTCAAAGGAACGGGAAGGGTGAACGGCTACTGAATTTGCAGCTGAACCGCGGGTGACTTTGGAGCAAGACATTCAACCCAAGCCAAGGAAACTCTGCACAGGAAACACCCTGGTCTAGACTTGCATTGCGCAGTCTAAGAAACAGGGCGAGTGCCCAAGATCCTCTTTGAAATGCTGGTCAGAGCAAGCTGGGAGGAAGAATTTGGAAACCCAAACACCAAGATGGAAGGGGGCGGGGGGATCGTTTCTCTGCAAGAACTAATCATCCTAGATCTGAAGATGACATCTTGCTAATTGCAGATGATTGAAAAAATGCAATTTAGGATTGAAGAGCTAAATGAAGATGCAAAATAGAGACTATGAGGGAATGTATAATTGCCACTGTGCAGCAAGCAGCTCTTCTAACGCCATCAAAAAGTAATGCAATACTCCTCGGCTCTTCAATTTACATCCAGGCAGCTGTTTCAGTAGGAATGGGACGTGCTTTCGCCTTTTCCATGATACAACCACAGGGGGAGGGGACACTAGAGCACTCTGTATCCAAGGACAGGGATTGATCCCGGCATCGCTGTCCTCCTGGGGTCCTAAGAGTGAAGACAGCCAGTCAGAAAGACTGTTGCCTCGCCAAGTCGGTAACCAAGTGCCACACAGAGCCACGGTGCTGTTGGGCAGAGGGGGCCAGCCTGCACTTCCACTGATAACACACTGACCGACTCACTCCAGGTCAGAGAAAAGGAGCCTGGGACAGAGTCTGCAACTGAGCCCAGATCACCTGAACCCCAGGGCACCTTTGCCACAAGGCCACACATGCTATCCACGAGGAGAAGGGGCTTGGGGGAGCGCTGCATCCAGTTACTGCCCGGCGGGGCTTTTATCCTCGCCACAGGGCTAGGAGAGGTGCATGGGCCAGTGCCGCTGTGGCTGCCCAGCCTCACCTTCCAACGACCTGCCTGCCAGGTCCGGGCTCCTGGTAACATAAACGTATTCAGACCTGCGGAGCTTGTCCCGAGGGTGCTGGCTTTCTCCAGAAAAGAAAGGTGGAAGACACTACGTGCAGCATCACATTATACCGAGTTTCCATTCGCAAATCAGGCAAGTACACACCAGAGGAGGCCTGAAGGAGAGGCTGAAGCTGCTCTTTAGGAGATGGGGCAGAACAAGAAACGACTGCTTGCTGGGACGGTGCGAAATTTCGCCCCGCGTTTCATTGCGAAGCTGATTCAATGCGTTTCGAGCCCAAAACGGCAAAATCAGCACAAAACAAAAGCTTTCAAAACAGCTTCGAAACGAAACAAGGGAACTCGAAACGTCTTGGAAGTTTTGAAACGTTTTGAGTTTCCAAGCCAGGCTTGCTGGCTTCCGCGCCGGTCGCAGGCAGCAGCACCCGGCTCCTGCCATCTGGCAGGCAGATTGGGGGCTTGCACCCCCCCCAGGAGGACCCTGGTGCAGCCCCTGCAGTGCCCCCGGGGGGTGCCTTCCGTCGAATCACGAAAACAGAAGTCGAATCACAACGGTGCTGTTTCGCACGGCCCTACTGCTTACTGCTGATTCGGCATCATCCTGATTTATCCCCCCGCCAAAAAAGTTTGGACTCCCCTTCAGCTCCCCAAAGTGTCTCTGGAACGGATGGATTTTAAGCTCCATTGCCAAACAACAAGAAAGATTTCTGAAATCTCCCTGCATGCCATCTGACGCCAACAGAGAAGTAATCCTGCCCGATCTGCACAAGAAAGAGCAACTCACAGAGACACTTGCATGGACCCAGAGGGACAGACTTGCATCTTCAACTCCCTCTGTGCAAAAATTAAGTTTATTTCCCACCAAGGGGGACTTTTTAACCATCCTCCATTTCCCCTGAGCCAGATGAAGGGCGAAAGCTGGCCGAAAAAGATTTTTTTTTGCAAATTCTTAGTTGATCTAATAAAAGGTATCATCTCTGAACCAAGAGCGCTAGATTTTTGCATTTCTCTCTGTAACTGAGGACACTTTTTATACCCTTCGCGTCTGAGCTCTGCCGAGTACTTCAGCCTGGAACCGTTCCCAAAGCTCAAATGCAAGTGTATTAAGAGAGATTAGTTCATTAATCTACTCTTTGGTCCTACAACCCTTTATCATTTCATTTTAATAGTTCATACTAATTGACAGAGCAGATCCTCCTCAGGTCTGGGAAAGCTGGGCAATCGCTTAAACCACAGCATCAACATTTTCACTCGGAAAGACCTCATACATTATGCTCTCGACGTCCCTCCGAATGTTTGGTGCCCGCGAAGAGCTCTGTGCTCGCTGCCCTTGAACTCCATACGAGGACTGGAGGCGGTTGGTTTTCCAGCTTCACGGGTCACTACTGCCTGCTTGCTTTTCGTCTAACTTGGAGCCATTGGAGGGTGGCCAGGTGCCGTCCCCATGCTGCGCTCTCAAAATGCCCATGCGGAGCCCATCTTGCGGATTAGGAAAGACTATTTTTCTCAGGGAGCTCAGTGGGGACAGCCACCACAGCACACTTCTCATCCTAGCTTTCTGGTTTGGGTTTGCAAAAGTTCAGCCTGGATATGCATGAAGGCCTGCATGCCCCTCCTGTTACCCCATGTGGGTGTCTCCCTTAGCCTTGGAGAAACTCAGAACAGCTTCTCTCGCTGCCCCTGCTGTCTGGCAAAGAGCTGCTTTCCTCTTTGCCAGGCTCTGTATTTTTCTCATGCAGTCTCACACCTTCTGTGCAACACATCTGCATCCCCTGCCCTGTGCCTATTAAGGATTTGCCTGGAATTCAAATCTTTTCTTTGCCTTAGTCATTTATCTCTGGCCTTTTTGGAGAGGCGAGGGGGTGGTCGCCTCCTCGGCGGACGCTGCTTCGCTAAGGGGCAACAGGCATTCATTCGTCAAGGCGTGGCATAGAGTCAAAAGCGACGGGAGTGGACTGATCTGCATCCAGCGTTCCCGATACATAAGGGCGCAGATGACTGGGTGCGTGGCAAAAATTGGGTAAATTATGAGTCACGCAAGATGCGATGACGATCGAGCACTCAGGCCCGGCTGTAGATTTACGCAGCGCTTCAGAGAACAGAGCCAAGAAACATAATGCCCTTCGCCAAGGAGCTCGTATGCTAATTAACACAGATCAACATGAGAGAAGCCACCAGATAACAGGAGGATGGGGGGTGGGCTTCCAAAGGGGTGCAATTAGGAGACAAGGCCCGGTCATTACATGGTTTAATTAGAGCCCAAGCTCCGTACAAGCTTTATCACAGAAACATTCCCCGCAATTACGGTGTCTCAGACCTGGGGAGGATTGCAGGACCACCCCGCGCCTCTGGGCCAGAGCAGGAAGCTCATTAACTGAGCTGCAGGGACCTGCAGCAAAGGGCGGGAGGTTTCCTGGAAACCAGGTCCTGGAAAGCCCATTTACACCTGGCTGCACTACAAAGTGTTAGACAGTCGGCTTCCCATCACAGCACCAAACTGCACCAATGAAATCTTAACCAGGGTTAAGAACAAGGTCAAGAGAAAGGCAGACAAAATCCAAGCCGGCTGTAGTGCCTGTGGTTTGAGTTTCTCCACCTCTTTCCTGCACCTGTTTGGGCCGAGATGACCATCACAAGCACGAAACACGGTGCCAAAAAAACCCTCTCCTGACAGCATTTGTGACAGAGCTGAAACTTTGGGGGCTGGAGATCTCCCAAGAAGTCCTGTTTCCTGAAACCAGACCGCAGAGTGACTTTGAAAGTCGGCTTTAGAAAAAGTCTGCTTTAAAAGCTGCCTTCTCAGGCTGGCAGGTGAGCAAAACACAACCGTTGCACTCCAGATGCACAGGACAGTCAGGCGGACCTGACTTCACCTAAGCATTTCTCCGGACCCACCGGTGCTGATGTTTGAAAAGCGGGTGAGCCAGTGGCGGCCCTCAGGGGTCCGTGCTCAGACCGGTGCCTTTCAACATCTTTATCAGTGATTTGGATGGGGGAGTGAAAAGCTCGCTGGCTAAGTTTGCAGACGACATCAAATTAGGGGGCAGCATGGCCACGCCAGAAGATAGGCTGCTGATACAGGCAGACCTGGACAGGCTGGAGAGCTGGGCAGACGGGCACCAGATGAAGTTCAGCACTCAGAAGTGCAAGGTGCTCCATCTGGGGGCAAACAATCCCCAACATACCTGCAGGCTCAGTGGCAACAATTTGACTTGCACCACGGGCAAAAGGGACCTAGGGTAGCGATCGACCAGCGCATGAACAGAAGCCGGCAGTGCGACGCGGTGGCCAGCAGGGCAAACAACACGCTGGCATGCATCGACCGATGCATCTCGTGTAAAACTAAGGAAGTGATACTCCCACTGGTGAGACCGCAGCTGGAGTACTGCGTCCAGGACTGGTGCCGCACTTCAACAAGGATGTGGAAAATCTTGGGAGGGCCCAGAGAAGAGCCACCCATCGGATCAGGGACTTGCAAGGCAAGCCATACGAGGAGAGGCTGAGGGACTTGGGCCTCTTCAGTCATCGGAAGAGGAGGTTGAGAGGGGACTTGGTAGCGGCTCACCGCTATATCAGAGGAGTGCATCAGGAGCTCAGTGGCCAGCTGTTCACTACGGCACCCCGGGGAAGCTTTGGGCTCAACTCCAGGAAAAACGTCTTCGCAGTCAGGGTGTCCAGACCATGCAATAAACTCCCTCCAGGGGTGGTGCAGTCACCTACCCTGGAAATCTTCAAGAGGAGACTGGACAGTCACTTTGCGGAGGTCACTTGACCCCAGCTGTCTTTTGCTGCCTAGTGCAGGGGGACTGGACCCGATGATTGACAAGGTCCCTTCCAGCCCCCAACTGTCCCTGAATCTATGAGCATGCTCTGGGCACGGGCACGACAGGCCGACAAAGCACTGCTGTTACATACGACCCAACAGGAAAGGTACTCACTTGGTCTGATGTTTCGAGCCCTTCAGGTGAGCGTGGTACTGTTCTATCGAGTTCAGCGTGACGTTGCAGATGTTGCACGTGTAGCTGCGCTTCAGACCTGTGAACAAAACCCAACAGTTCGGTTAGCTGCGCCCCGTCACCAATGCCTACAACCACCCGTCTGTCTTGGCACGCTCTTAAGTGCGAGCCTGAGACCTGACACCGGAGATAAAACTGTGTGTTGCAGAAGTGGCACAAACTGTTTAAGAATAACCTACTTTGTGCATGCAAATAAAAGAAGAGCTCTCCCATCCGGCCAAAAACTAATCACCAGGGGAAAACGAGGACACGATGCATGGGAGAGACGCTACGACTCGCCATTCTTCTCTTGCTCCGTCTGCGCGGCACACGGGCCCTGGCCACTGTCTTGCTGCACATGCTTCAAATTGGGCCTGTTGTTTTCAATGGCTAAATGCTTTCTAATGCAGATGAAGCCAGTGAGAACATGGAGCAGAGGGGAAGATCAAAACCTTTCAGGTTAGACTGTGGGTAAGTGCCTGCCTGCTATACAACCTACCGCTGGGAATCAAAATGGCAGCTGGTTGAAAACAAGGACTGTTTACATAAAATCCAGCGCAATTCTCACGACTGACAGCTATTCACGCCTTGCGTCTCTCTGAATATTTCCAATTTACTCAATTCCTTTGAATCCAACCGCTGACCTACCGTGTTTCCTACGTGACGGCCAGCCCAGCGGCGCTAAGCTTCTGCGGCGCAGGAGCCGTAGGGAGAGCCAGATGCAGCTCCACAGAGCCGGGTTGTCTGAGCAAGCGGGGCTGCTGGCAAATCTTTTGCCAAGGCCAATCTCCTGCCAGTTCATCACAGTACTGTCCCTCTCTGCCTCTCCTCCATGATTTTACCACCACACCCACGGCATAAGAGAGTCCCTGCCTCTTCCTCTCATTCTCCTTGGTAGTTGGCACGATCCACGGCGACTCCTTGGTGTAGTTATTGGCCAGGCATTTTGGGACGACGAGGCACCAACTTGCACTTCGCCATCAAAATAAGCGGTCTCATACTTGGGGTGCACAGAATCAGGAGGTCCCCTCTAGGCCACCCCCCTGCTCCAAGCAGGACCAGCCCCAGCTCCAGCATCCCAGCCAAAGCTCTGTCCAGCTGGGTTTTCAAAACCTCCACCACCTCTCTGGATAACCTGTTTCAGTGCTTTACTACCCTCCTAGTGAGACAATTCATCTGCATGTTGGCCGCTGAGTGCCTCTTCAAAGCTGTCCCCCTGCTTGAGTGTCCGAGCCC